TACAAGTATTTATTATCTGCTGAGCAAGATGTGGTGCTACCTGGGGCTTGACCACAAATCATTCTTAGACCCAGAAGTCGTATCAGTAGCACTGCTGCTGGGATGGCATGTGGTTGGGGCAAGGCCGGCCAGTCCACCAGGGTTTCAAATGCATGCATTTCCACCTGATGCGCAAGTCAAGGGAGACAGTCTTCTCTGCGGCAGTTTCCACAGGGATCACTCACTTGCTGTCTGGAGTGCTGATCAATTCCAGTGCTGAGGAGGTTCCTTTTGAAGGTTCTGCCCACCCACGCTCCTCCTCTGGTCTGGGAACTAGCCCCCAACAAAGGCTCTTACTGAAAGAGTCAGTCCAGGAGGCCATGCTTGTCTTACAGGATTCTACCTCCTTGGTTATAGCTGATTGGATAGGCACAGGACCCAAGGGTGGCTCCTCCACAGGCCGATGGACTGGACCGCTCAGAGTCTCAATATTTGGGAAGAGATGGTACCAGAAAGGGGTGGGTACAGGAAAGAAAAGGTGGTGCACAGTGGGTCCTGGGATGGATTCTCGGCTGTGTACACAGTAAAGAGAAAACAGAGAATGCTAGAAGGCCAAGGGAAGCAAGAGAACTGAGCAAATACACAGAATATACAGAGAAACAGAGATGAAAGCACATATAGAGAGAAGATGTGAGAGAAAGCAAGAGTGAGGATGGCTGTCTCCAGCCTTTCCCATGTGGGAGCTGTGTTTTGTTTCTATGAAATGGCCCTGTGTTCTCTCGGTCAACCCCCACACTTTTGAGCAAGTGTGAATTGTCCCTGCAAAGGTCTTTGACTAGAATACCTTCAAGGTGGGACTATAGGGGAGAATTTAATTTCTAAAGCATGGATCTGAGTCAGTTACTGCTCTAAGCTGGATCACTATATTTCCCTAAGAGTGTTTAGCTGTATTTTGTAAGCAAAGTCCAAACTATTTTCTGGTGTGTGGTAGAAGGAACAGATCAAGTTTAAATTATTTTCTCAAACTTTAGAAACAATATCTATTATTTTACTCATTAAACATTGAATGCGTAGAAAAAGGTGGCTTAGGTAGAAAAAAGAAGCTTATTTATCTATAATCGATATTTAAGTCTTTTGATCCATTTTCTCTAATTTCCATCTCTTCTAATTTCTGTTAGAAGAACTTTCTTTTCTTTCTTTCTTCTTTTGGTCAGGTATTTAAATTCCTGTCTTTCTCCATCTGTACTCTGATATATATTTTTCCTATCCGTTCTTCCATCAAGATTATTCAGAAATTACATGTTCTACTGCTGAATTCTTAAATTAAGTGCACAACATAACTTCCAGGACCAGAGAACCGATGCTTATATAATCCACTCTGTCTCAGTCAGCCCAGGCTGCCATAACAAAGTACGACAGACTGAGTGGCTTTTAAACAACAGAAATTTATTTCTCACACTTTTGGAGGCTGGAAGTCCAAGATCAGGGTGCCAGCAGGATCAGGGTCTGGTGAGAACCCTCTTCAGAGTTGCAAGACCGTTGACTTCTTAGTGTATCCTCACATTGCAAAAAAGAAGGCAAGAGGGCTCTCTGAGATCCCTTTTACAAGGGCACTAATCCCATTCATGAGGACTCCACCTTTATGACCTATTCAACCCCAACGCCCCCACCTCCTAATAGCATCACATCGGGATTAGGATTTCAACATATGAAGGTGGGGGTGGGGTGTGGGGTGGGGGTTGAGACACATTAAGTCTATAGCACAATAGCACACCCTGAAAGAGGAAACTTGCTGTTGCATAGGTAACTACTTCCATCCCAGATCATAGGTACCAGGGCACACAATAGACTTTCATGTTCTTGCACCATGGGACTGCCTCTCCTAATGCATAGCATAGAATCTGCTACCTCATAATGACAAGCTGTCATGGCCTCACCGCCTGCTTGTTTGGATACATGGCACTGAGAGAGGACTGCTCCCCTGCAGTCTTGAACAGCAGTTGAGAACACCGTTTCCTCAATGGCACTCTCTGGAAAAAGCCCAAATGCATTTCCTTTCATGAAGGCAGAAAACTCACATCAAAACAAGTTCCAAAAAGTGTTTATTATGCCACAAATGCATCGTCCTCTATACACTTTATCTGAAGTCCTTTACATATCCAATCATCTTTTTTTTCTTCACAAGAACATAGGGCGTCCCTCACATGACCCTTGTCTACTTTTTAAACTTCCTAGCACAGTTCAAGAAACGCATCACAGACAAGCGTGCAGGCAGCATGGTGAAATGGAAAGCAAGTTGAATCATGAATCAGCAGGCTTGGGGTGGAATCCTCCAGGAGGTCACTCCACTTTTCTGGACTTCTGATTCCTTCTCTGAGATTGCCAAGGTCCTCTGTGGCTTCTCCAACTGTCTGGAGGGTCATGAGGAACATAGAGCCCCTGGGCTGTCACGGGACTCTGTTTTTGCCTCCATGAGGCACTTCTGCCTTTCCTCAGAGGCAGCTGTCCAGGCGTCTGTCCCCTCCATGACACCAGGAGACTCTTCAGAGAAGGGACCACATATTAATCACAGAAAATCTAGCAATGGCAGCTGTCTCCCCATTGGTGGAAAAAAACATGAACAGATTGATTTCTTTTCAACTTAAGGTTTTCCTTCCATATACTTTTCTTAAACCTGTGGTGTCTAGTTTATCAGAGTGTCTGGTTTAGCACGCTATATTTTTAGTCATCTCAGTTGATGAACTCAATATTTCATGGGGTTCTGCAAAGACTGCAATGATTTGTTTCTCCATCCTCTTAGCAAGCTGGGGCCACACCACTGCAGACTGTAGGCTCATTCTCTGTAAGTCACTGGAACATCCAAAGCTCAGACATTGTCTTTGAAGCATATATTTTAATTACACTAAGGTCTTAAAAACTTCATTGTCACATACAGGATTTCCAGGCATTTACCAAGTAGACAAAGTACTGGGTTGATATCATTGCACTGATGAAATATTAATATTATTGATAAGGCGGGACAATGTGGCTGACTTTATCAGACTCATACCATTTGCATGAAAAGGCTGAGTTTCTTTGGCTCTTTGTTCATTCAAGTGCATTGAATACCTATTTGGATAGACTTAGGCATTGTGTTAATCTGTCAATAAAATCTTGCACCATCCACAGTGTTTTGCAAGCTGATTTAGGTTTTGGACTACAACAACTGGCCATTGGTAGAAATATACCATATATACACATGGAAATTACAAAAATACATTTTATTTATAGCTGATTTTTTTTTTTAAGTAACAAAAAACTAACACTATGAAAGATCAACCAGCATACCAAAAGGACACTACCTAATATCATCTGAACAAGAGACTTGTCTGGGGATACCATGACACATCATCTCCGGAACTTTCCAGAAAGGGCAATTTGCCATTGGGAAATAAAAACAGCTTCTTTGAAAAGTCTGTGCTTTGACAGTTTGAATCTCCCATTCTAATCAGTTCCACCCCTACACTTCTCTCAACTTTTAAATTTCTACCTTCTCTCAGTAAAGACCAAAGAAACTCATGAGGGAAATGGAAAGATGGGCTCAAGAAGGCATGGACACAGCTGAAGCTAGATGGGTCATGGGTGAAGGCAGGACAGGACCTTGTTCTCCAACAGACACCAGGTAAGCCCCAGCAGAGTTGGTGAGGGAACCAGAGTGTTCCCTCTCCTGGGCTACCTGAAGTTTTACTTTTGCACTGACAGTCAGCAGCTGGTGCCTCAGGGCTGTGAGGCAGTGTCCACCCAGAGTTCTAGAAGCTGACTCACCATGCCAGGGAATGTCATTTACCACATCGCGGTCACAAGGTCAGCAGCCCTGTCCTTTCAGCAAGTGTCCTCCTGCATCCATTAACTACAGGGGCGTGGAGGGAGGGAACTGGCAAACTCCATACACTTAAAAAAAATGTTATTTACATTTAAATGTAAGTCAACAGATTTTCTACATTCAGAAGCTCCTATAAACAGAGGCTGCAGCCTGGGGAGACCGAGGAGTCCACTCTTTCTGCTTCAAACAGGCATCAATTGCTACTTCCTTCTGTATCGCTCAGCAGCACATGCTGGACATCGCTGTTGAAGAGACAGAGGTTTTCCTGTCAAAGTCCATGTATCCATTATCTCAAAAAAGAGAGAAGCTTGTTCTCAGGCCACCTTCATTGCAAGGCAAAGAAAAACCTCCACAAATGACTGTTTTTCTTTTGTAGGATCTTAAAAGCTCTTAGCACCAATTCTCTTTCAGTGAGATCCCAATGTGCGGGGTGCTCAAGTTCCAAAACAACAACACCTCTTCAGAAACTTGTCAACACGAATCCACCATTCCCTCTCATCTGCTCTCTTTCTCAGCCTTTGTTTAGTTAATGGAAGGACAAAAGAGTCAGGACTATTTATAGGTACAGTCATCGACAGTCCTGATTTTGATCGACTTCATCTGAATATGAACCTTTGAAAGAAAAGGACTGAAGTTTCTTGGCTGGAGTCAGTGCCTCCTTTACAGACTGGAGGTGATTTTAACAATTACAGTCATCGCTGAATGAGAGAGAGTACAGTCTGGTGCTTAATCAGATGCCTGCATTGCCTTTAACACAGAAACAGAGTTAACATGCAGAACTCACCGAAGACAGAGCAATGTTCTCCGCCTTCTGGTGATTTATTAAAATGTGGCATTGGATAGGGATCTGCAGATTAGTTAGTGTCTCTTGTGACTAAGGCTCCAAAGGGAAATACACCCACAGTTCAAACATTTAACTTCACGATTATCAAACATATGGTCCCACACAGGGACTTCTTGACATACAATCAGTTGAATAAGCCAAGAATCAAGTTGTTCAAGAGTCTCCTCTGTTGCCCAGAAGCCCCACTGTTCACCTGTTCAGAGACTGAGGGTGAGAAAGACTCACACATGGTCTATGCCTCAAGTCCCAACACGTTAGGCTGAGAAAGCAGAAGACGGCTTCCTCAGAGTCTGGAAGTCCCACGGGGCTAAGGCGTTAGACCTGGAACTCAAACATGTCTGTCTGTTTCTTGGCCAGCTTGGCCACCTCTTCCCGGATGGCCTTCACGAGGGCCGCCGTGGAGATGTTGGTCAGGGGCGTGTCAGACGGGTCGTTCTCGGTGAGGCTCTGCTGCGAGGCCGCCGCGGATGGCACCGGGGCCTGCTCCAGGCTGGGGTGCATGCCTGCTGGCTGGCTGTACTGGCGAGGGAGCCTGGAGGGAGAGTTTTGCTGATAACGTGACCGGGGGTAAGCCTCGATGTACCCTGGGAGGGGGACCTGCAGAGGGTGTCGGGAGAGAAGAGAAGGGCCCGGGATTAGGAAGGGGTTCAAGTCACAGGACACGCTTGATACTGGACGCAGGAGGGGACTGAAGGCGATGAAAGAGATCCAGAAGAAAATGGGAGACCACCGTGCACATAAAAAACCTGGAGTCTGTTTGTTTAGAAAATAGGTAATTTGGACTCGCTGGATATGCTGGTGGGATGAATTAAGTAGGTGTTTTGAAGGTTGCTATAAACAGCTGGAACATGCCCGAGTCTCCACCTGAATCTGCCTGCCTACCTTTTTAACATAAGCACAATCCAGCAAACAGAAGTACTGTTCTTTATGGACCTCAAAGGACTCAGGGATTTATTCCCAACGATAACTGCTAACACTGAAGGAGTCCTGTGCTTAGGGCTTTCCACACATTATCTCACTTAATTCTCAAAGCAACAACCTAGGAGGTAGATATTGTTATCCTTGTTTTACAGAAGAGGACACTGAAGGAAAGAGTGTCACGGTCTCAGGTGACATGGTTAACAAGCCACTCAGACATGCTTTGAGCAGGTCTGTCTGATGCCAAGGGCTGGGAGTTAATCACTGTACTGTCTCGGATCTGGGATACGATCTTGGTTTCTTGAAAAATTTCTTCTTTTCATTAAAAGTGGAAGACACAGGGGCGCCTGGGCAGCTCAGTCGGTTAAGCGTCCGACTTCGGCTCAGGTCATGATCTCGTGGTCTGTGAGTTCGAGCCCCGCGTCCGGCTCTGTGCTGACTGCTCAGAGCCTGGAGCCTGTTTCAGATTCTGTGTCTCCCTCTCTCTGTGACCCTCCCCTGTTCATGCTCTGTCTCTCTCTGTCTCAAAAATAAAATAAACGTTAAAAATAAAAATTAAAAAAAAAGTGGAAGACACATACTTCTGTGCTTCAATATACGGACATATCTAGTAATAAGGACAAGTCAATGATCTGCAATTCAGGATCAACTTTCCCACAGAAACAGTGCCACACATGGGGATGCTGTTCAAGGGCAACCCACAAAAGGCCTTTGTATCCCATAATGCTAGTTGGAAGCCTGTGGGATGAATGCCTGTGGACAACGTAGGCAAAGGGTGCTGTGGGGAATGGACACGTGTGGGGAGTCAGGCGGCTTTCGGGGAGCAGCAGCTTAGCTGTGTCTGGAAGATGAATAGGCCCTTGCCAGGAAAACAAGTTGGGAGGGGCTTCCGAGCAGAGGAAAAGCAAAGGCAAAGGCTGGGTGTGCACGGGGATGCAGGGACGCTTTGGGAGTTCCGTCTGACCAGAGAGGATGTACAGCGTATGGAAGGAGCTCAAGAAAGACAGACGGGCAGGGCCAGATCAGAAAGCCACCAAGTGCCAGGTTACAGAGTCTAGTTTTCTATGGCACACTTCTGAGGAATACAGCATGTTTCCATTCTTTACAGAGATACTTGTCTGGGCTCTGGTGAGGATGGAGTAGGATGGGTTGGGTGAAGAGTCAGAAATTTTGGATGGGTGAATATTTAGCAGGAAAGTGGCCTCCTTCTACTCCCCGCCTGAGATGTTCTGACAAGCCCTCCTGCGAAGGCAGCTTTCTGAGATGGATGCCTGACACCTGGCCAGGGAGCCACCAGTGCGCATCAGGCAGAGGAGGGGCCTGTATTCTAGAAAGGACACTCTGGAGGTAGACCCACTGGAGGTCAAGAGGAGAGATGTGAGGCTACGTCAATGGCCTAGGTGAGGGCCTATGGGGACCGGAGTGAGGGAAGAAGTAATAGGATGGATGTCCCAAAGTTTGGGGCTTTAATTTCCCAAGACCTGATGAGAAAGACAAAGTGGCAAATGGGTACTAATGGTGGGTGAGGGCTGTGCATATTTCCCTTACACCTTAGAGGAAAACCAGAGTTGAGCTGTCCATGTCCTGGGGCCACAAGCACTAGGAATGTGCAGGAGGTGACTAGAGGGAAGCAGATCCAAAGCCAGGATAGGGGACTTGCCCATCACGTCTCAGCGCAAACGTTCGTTCTTCCAGGGCACCTTCCCCTGCCCTACGTTAGCCAAGGGCTCCCTGTAAGGTGCTTCCGTGCAGTTTCTCTAGAGTAACAGCCATCACCCAAGATGCCAACACCTGTCTCAGGCCACCAACTTCGTCAAGGCAAAACTGTGTCTTGCTTGCTTATCACTGTGTACCAGTGCCCAGAATTATGCATGGTACACAGCAGGGAGTCTCATAGAACTTGGGGTTCTGAGGAACACAGTTGGAAAATCACTGGAGGATGACCCGCTGGTGCCGTATGTTTGTGAGGGAAGCTGTCATATCTCCTTTCTCTGCATTTCAAATTTAGCTGGAGCTTAGAGTGAGCGTCCAACTCTTGAGATCCCTCAGTTCTACAGCATCAAGCATCTTGGTACCAATGGCTGGGACAGGCAAGGGATACCTGACTCCACTGGAGTGCCCTCAGGGTAATATCCAGAAGCAGAGAAGACGAAGAGACGAGAAGCTCTTCCTCTCTTACAGTAGATTCAGGCTGGAGCCATCACATCTTGCTGGCCAAAATTCAGGACTGGCAAAAACCGCCCCTTTCCTAGGCAGTGCCCATGGCAGGCATCACCTGTTGATCACAGCACACCCCTCCCAATCCTTCTCCACCCAGCTCCAAGGATGAAACCTATTTGTCAAGCCAGGTTGAGGTGATTTTATCTGAGCTTGCTCCTGAAGTCTGGAGACCTGGGATCGGGAAGGTCAGACACCCAAATGATGGTGGGACCTTTCTCCTTCTCAGATGGATGTGGAAGCGGACACCATCCCTGTCCCAATTTCTCAAGCTGACAAGCTCAGTCTCTCTGAGCTTCTTGCACTTTCTTTCACATGTAAGAAATCACCTGTCCTCCTCCCCGGTGTGGTTCCTGCATGGGCACAACCTCCCTGCTTAACTGCAGGTGGTAACTGGGCCCCAGCAAAGACCCATTTAGGTTGTGGTGATCACGTTCCTCTTAAAAACAACTAATAGAAAAGTAACTCTCCCTAACACTGAGAGGATGGGCCCAGAATGATCAGATCATCCCATTAGGAAGGTTAGGTTTTGATTTGCTGGGTTCCTGTTCCTTCATCTTTAAGGCAATATGAACCCAAAGGCATCTGGAAGTCACCATTAGCCCAGCTAAGCTATCACCTGTGTCTTGAGAGCAAGAGGTTTTGGAAAACACTTCTGTTGACTCCTCCAGAGTACCCACTGGAACTTTCCATGCAGAGGGTGAACCGACAAAGCTGTAGATTTACTGTTTAATTAGCACAAGTTAAGTATCATCTACTTTCTGAAAAGCACACATTATGTTTAGACTGTAAGTGGAATTATGGAGTCAAGTAAGCTCTGAATTGATCAACTCATACCCAGTGATTTTAGCTATTTAAAACAGCTGAGCACGACAATGGGGGGAAAAAAAGCCCACAAACAACCAAAACAGATGCCATAAAGTCTCACATTAAGATTTGTAGACTTGGGGCACCTGGGTGGTTCAAGTGGTTAAGCATCCGACTTCAGCTCAGTTCATGATCTCACCGTTCGTGAGTTCAAGCCCTATTTTGGGCTCTGTGCTGACAGCTCAGAGCCTGGAGCCTGGTTTGGATTCTGTGTCTCCTTCTCTCTCTGCCCCTCCCCAACTCTCTCACTCTCTCTCTCAAATAAACATTAAAAAAAAAAAAAAAAAAGATTTGTAGACTTAACAATAGGGAATCCTTACAAGTTACTCTTAAAGCTTATTTACTCCAATTTGACAAATAATTCTAATGAGCTCAGACATGCCCCATTTGCAGAAAATAGCCCATTAGGAAAAGCATATTTAAGGTGAGTATATCTGTGGAAGTGGGGACACTGACATCAATATAAGCTCTGGTTGGGAGCAAGGTCAAAGAAAGAAAAATCATATTGAATGTTGTAATAACTCCAAAAATTATAGTATTTTGGAGATGTCTGATGTAGGGGCGATAATCCTACCATCAGAGCTCATCTTACAAATGTCATTTTAGTATAGTAAGGCATCCTAATGATGCTGAATCATTTGTTAAAGACAAATTAAATTACATTCCTCTTTTAAAGGAGGGGAGGGGAGATATAATTCATTCCAGAATTTTTTAATGCAAGATAGCATGCATTTTTAAATATTTTGAAAATTAAAGGGATAAGCTTTGATCATCAGGAAAATTAATATATGTAGGATAGTTTTACCCCAATGATGTTATTTAGACGTGGCATCACTACCCTAAGAATAGACACCAATATTGAGGCCGAGTTGAACCTGTAGGGGTAGAAGGTATGGACCTCAGGGTTTTAGACAGAGAGAAAAGATGACCCAGGCCTTGGGCTAGATGTTTGATAAATCTAGGATATATTTCAAATGTTGAGACCAAACCCTAAAATGACACTCATCCCCAGGTGGCCCTCAAGTTAAGTCTGGGAGACAGCCTGCCCTTCTTATCCATGATGGATGACAACACAGAGGGATTGGGGCAACCCACACCAGAGGCCAGCATTGTGCTGTTTTCATTTGCTTGATTTTCTCACTTAGCAGCCCTTGACAGGTGACTCCGAGACAGGTCTGGGTATGACTATCCAGGTTCATCTGGCTGCTGCCCTCTTTGGTCTAGGCCAGGCCAGGTCCACTGTGCCATATGCTCCTACTTATGATAGAGCATGGAACCAGGGGGTCACAACAACACAACCCTTTGCTGGAAGTCAGGCAGAATGCCTTAGGATCTGTAATTCAAAGTAATTCAATCTTGAGTTTCTAAAACTGTATCTTCTGATACTCCATCTAGAATTTTTACAGAATTTTAAAACTAAAAGGAACAAATTTAATAAAGGCTTTGGAGCCAGACCAATGCAGGTTTGAATTTTGGTCTTAGCACCTTATGAAAGCTGTGTGGCTTTATTATTATTATTATTATTATTATTATTATTATTGTTTTAAAGCTGTGTGGCTTTAGACAGTCATGTCACCTGACTAGGCCTCAGTTTCTTCATTTGCAAAATGGGACACATCATGGGAATAATAATACCTACCGGATAGGATTGTTGTGAAGAATAAGATAATATAAATAAAACATCTAACATGATGTCTGGCACATAGAAAATACTCAAAAAATGATGGTTACAATAAAAATTTATTTGACTAAGAACGCCCTGCTAGAATGAGGTAGAATCCAGACCGGAAGGTGGGTCTCAAGTTTTCTCTCAAAAGACATCCCACTTGACTACACTGTCTCCACTAAAATGCTTGATGTCAGCCACCTGGTTGGTGGGAAGGGGGCTGAGATAACAAAACGCTGTCTCAACCTCTCATCTGTTTTCTCCCTAAAATGTGTCCAGCAGGTAAGGCTGTGAGGGAATCAGCGAGGCTCTCACCGAATCGGCCCACTGGCTTGGGAGCTCATTCTCTCCTGCATAGGACATCCAGGCCTGGTTTCTGTAGGACGAGGGAGGCGTTGGGATGAAATAGCCGGTGAAGCCAGGTCTGTTGGCAGCTGGGATGGCGAACACTGCCGGCACCGTATTACCTGGCATGGAGGAGATGGATGGGGAGGATTAGGCCAGCATCCCACCTACCGGGCTGACATTTGCACAAAGCTGGGGGAAGCTGGCAAACGGCGAACTCTGGCATGGGGGGAGGGGAAAATGAGGTGTGGAGCAGACCTCTACCTGCAGCCCTAGCCTTGCCCACCTGCCCAGTCATCTGCTATGACTCAGACCTGGTTTTCTAGAGAAATGATGGCCCAACTCCCCTCACTGAACCCTCCCCAACTCCTCCATCCCCATCCCAACACCCCTGACCTACTGGCAAGAAGAAGGGACACCATAGTGTCCGGATACGTTTCTCCAGGGAGAATGGGTGTTTTAAAAAAATCCCAGAAAAGGAACCAAAAGGAATGGATTCCACTGATGGAATTTCCGGACACGGTGAATTCTTTAGTTAAGTGTTGACGATTAAGTGTTTGCAGTTTTAGTCTAAAAGGTATGCTTTGAATAGACTAAAAAAGCAATCAGGGCATGAAAAAACCTTGGCGTTAATTTCAGCATTGTTTCTAACAGCAAAAGACTGGAAACAACCAATATGTCCCTCATTAGGGGAAAGGTTAAACTGGCATGTCATATCATTCAATACCATGTGGCAGTTTAAACAAATCAACTAGACCAACATGCACGTCCCCATCCTGAAAACAATGCTGAGTCAAGAAAACAAATGCAGAAGGAAATGTATGGTTTGATATCACTCGTATACACGTAAAATAACAAAAGCATTTAATATGCACTATTGGATATGCACACATATGTAGCAAAAAGCACCCTCAATTTAAGAACTGGGATTACGTCTGGGAAGACGGGGAATGAGATAGAGCTGGAGGGTTCTGTCTGCAATGCTTTAAAGATACATAATAATTTAAAAAGAAACCCTGAAGTCTGGCAAATGTTAGCATATACCCTTACTGTAACATACGTTAATATTTTGTCATATTTCAGATTTTTTAAAGAAATAGAACAGTAGCTCTTCCAACCAGAGCTACTGAAGTCAGACACACAGTTGCCTGGATTGCTAAGGATGACAGGGAGCAGATGGCTCGTGTGGATTTGGGGGGTGCGGGACTGCAAAGAGCACGGCACCGGGGTGGGGCTGGGGTACAGCACTGGCCTTTTTCAGCCGTTTCTCCTCTTGCCCACCTGAGTAATTTAAAGCCGACTGGTCCAACTGCGCCACGGACACGGGGCCTCTGGACACCTGCGCGAAGGAGGGGCTGTCGTGCAGCTGGGCCGGTTCGGGCCCTGCGGACTCGGCCATCCTGGTCTTGCTGCCCACGTCCGAGGTGGACCTGGGGGGTGCAGAGGGGCTGCGTTAGCCGCTCCCGCCCAAGGCGAGGTTCCCACCACTTGCACCTCTGGGGGTCGCCTCAGGGGACCTTGGCGGTCTCCAAGCCCCACGAGGGTGGGGGTCCTCAGGCCTGGATTTGCCGCCCCCCCCCCCTGAATAACAAAGAAGGCCAAGCGCGTCCGGAGTTGGAGCAGCGGTTGTGGTGGCCCGAACTTAAGGCATTTTTAGATATTCAAGGTCAGTGCTCCCCCGAGGGTGGCTCTTGTGTCTCTGGGGAGTAGCACACTTAATTTCCACATAAAAATAAGCCAGGCAATTAGCGCTGGGTATTAGCTGGGGATGGTCAACCTGGGAGGGGATGACATCATCAGCAGCCAATGAGAAGGATCCGTCTGGAGTGACTGGTCGCTCCCCCTCCAGACACCAGGGCTGGTGACCTGCAAGGGCCAGAGGACCACAGTTCCCTGCTGCTGGTGGTAGCAAGAAGCCCAAGGCTCTGAGAAGCTTGGACTGCTCCCGGAAGCAGGAGCCTAGCACTTTCTAGGCGTTATGAATGACAGAACACTTTTTGTCCCCCGATCCCACAGGCGAGCAGAGAATCCGGCCCATTAAACACATCATATTTCCACTTAGTGCTCAGAATGCCAGTGAGAAGAGGGCTGCCTGGGCTCCACGGGTGCCAGCTTCTCCCCTCTAATAAAGGGTGCGTTAGCCAGTCTCTAACCTCCCCTTCACAGAGGGATTTCAGGCTCCTAAAATTAAAATGGAAGGAGGCAAAGACAGCCACAGCAGGTGGCAGGCTGCCAGCTCTGAGCAGCCAAGTGTCTGTCACTGTAATAGCAGAACAGAGCCACAGCACCGCAGCCGGACCAGGAGGCGGGGGTCTGGGTTCTAGCTACTTCCCCTCACTGAGCCTCAGTTTCCTGGTCTGTGAAACAAAAGGGGTGGATGACCCCCTCTCCGAGGCTGCTCCGTGGTCTAATCGTCTGGGTCTATATGGAAAGCAGTGACCTGCTGATATTTGGCAAGATGGTAGACAGTGTGGAAGGGCAGGGGAAGAGACTGGTGGGTAAGAAATAAGAAACAGATACTGGCCTTCGGCAAATGGGCCACAAATGACTGATGTGAAGTTCCTGGCATTCAGAACCATCAGGAGGAATTGAGGCTTCCCAGTATTGCCCAGGGAGGGTTAAACACAGAGGCTGTGATGATTTGACTCTACATCAGGGTGGCTGCTGGAGGCTCAGTAATGTGGGGTCTCCCTTCCTTTCTTGATCCCTCCATCTTTCTCTTGGTTGATCTCTCCCACAGCCCTGGCTTCCCAGATACTATTCCAGGCATCTGCTACTAGTTTAGAAAACCCTTCCAAGGAAAACTCCCATGTTCTGCCCCATACACTTAGCCCCCTTGGAGGAATCCTAGAATCTCTGCAATCAGTTAGGCCGTCTCCCTCATTTTACAGTAAGGAAACAGGGGCCAGAGAGTTGAGGCAACTTGCCCAGGGTTTTATACAGGGTTAGGATAGAACCCTGGTGTGCTGCTTCCCAACCCACTCTGAGCTCGACTGGAGTCAAGGGCTGGTTTCTACACACAGCCTGGCATTCTAAACTGCGGGAAATGAGGGCAGGGACATTTTGGAGGAAAAACTCATTTTTCTTCACCATTTTCACAAAGTTCAGACCTGTGGTCCACAGATAGGGTGTGGCTAGCATGTTGGGGGAGGCGAGGGTAGGAGGGCCAGGGCAGGGGATCATACCTATCCCAGGGCATAGTTGTTTCTTTAACCCTGGACCTGATGCCTATTCCAGCATCTCCCAGCACTCATAGATTTTGTGTTTCTTGCCTATCTTTATTTAAAACATGTGCTTTTTATAAGATCACAAAGACAATATCTTTATCATATCTGAGTTATATCTTTATATCTGAGTTAATACGTTTATACATATCTGAGTTCATGTGCTCTCAGCCTCCCATCTTGGAAGTCATGAGTTAGGCTGGGTGCCCAGACATGCTGCTCCCTGGCCTCTTAGCCACCACCCCTAAACAACAAAGGGACTTCTGGGTACACACACGTGCCAGGAGGGGCCCAGACTGGAGGCAACCATTGGAGTGGCCTGAGCTGGAATAATTTTTAGATGTTGAAGATAAGGGTATGGGGCTTCTATGGTATGGGTTGGTTGACCTTGAGTTTCTTCCGTTGTGGGTTCTAAAGGACTTCCCATGTCAAATGATAAGAAAGTTGGTGAACCCTCTCTGTGCTCCCACTTCCTTCATGGTACTTGGAGCACCCCAGGCACGAGGTTGTCTGTACAGGTGATTGCACCCTCAGTGGGACGGCCATGAAGGAGATGTGTCAGGTCAGGGTACACAGGAACAAATCTCCAAACATTCCAAGCAAAGCAAAGAAAGGAATGTGTTACCGCCTGAGAGAAGCAACAGCCACAGGGCCAGTCCGGGGAGGTACAGGTGGAGGGGGAGAGCCCATGACCATTTCAGGAAGCTGGGAAAACCTGTATGCCTGTGAAATAGACGAGCAGTAGAGGAAGATCTGTTAAAATGCAGTGTCCATCAACACACAGGTTCTTCTTACTGAAAAGGAAAGCAGACTCCCAGGTCAGGTTTTCCTGCCTTCCTCAAAATCTCCCCTAATCTTCCTTATGTTCCCCAGTCCCCTCTTCCATCTCATCTCCAGCCAGGCTCCCCTTTGCTTGGGCCATTGTAGTCACGGAGTCCTTCGAGTGATCTTAGAATAAGCCAAGTTCTTTCCTGCCTCCAGCTTTTGTATGTGCTGCTTCTTCGCCCTGGGACGCTTTTCTCCTAATCCTTCCCGTGGTTCCTTCCTTCATCTCATTCAGCCAGCCCCATGTTCCCCTAGAGCCCCATTTACTCTCTCTCCATATTCTGCTTTATTTTTTGCCATAGCAATTGTCACCCTGTGGTATTATATCATTGCTTGTTTAGGTATTTCCTGCCACCAGCTGGACTGTAATGTGGGAAGGGCTTTGCTGTCAGCTATATCCTCATGCCTGCAACAGTGCCTGGTAGATCATGTATGATCAATCAATAAATGAATAAATGAATGAAGGAAGGAATGAATGAATCACTGATTGCATTTTACTTTGTCACTCATGGAAAGCAGATTTAGTTGGGGGGAAAGGGATGGCTTTAGAATCAGGAAGTATGGGTGGAGGTCCTAGTTTGCTGACAAATAGACTGTATGTCCCTAAGCAAGTTGGGTGACCTCTCTGGGCCTTGCTGTCCTCTTCCAAAGTGGGGACAAGGATGCCTTGCTCAGAGGGCTGCTAAGAAGATCAGGCAAGTCGGTGTATGTTTAAGTATTTCACAATCTATAAAGCACTATTCAAAGATAAAGGATTGGAACTGTCACGAAAGCGAAGACTTTAATCAACACGTGAGGGGATAAAATGAAAACAGTCAGAGGATAGACAGGATCAGAGAGCCAGGCCACAGCCTCCTTTAGCGAGAGAAAATCTAGAAATGCTCTCTGGCAAGACAAAGCTTAACTTGTGCTTCTCATACATCTTTTTCTTTAGGTATCATGCCTGCGAGATCTCTTGAGGAACAAGCTGACAAGACTTTAAGCCCGAAGGCTTCAGGACAAAAAGCAGCAGCAGAGGGAATCCATAAATAGGGTTCTTTGAACTGAATGAGGTCTTCTTCCCAGCGTTATGGCACACTACATACTTGTAAGGGCCTAGATCCTAGATGAAACATGCTTCTTGATGCACTGTGGGAATTGCAAGATGTAAGGGAAAGCTCAAGGACCCTACCCACTACCCGTATCCCTGCCCCGGCACACACCTCAGCCAACTAAAACAAAACCATGTGCTGAAACCAGAGGTAGAAATAGTGAGTAGTAAGCAAATATGAAAGGTGGAGGGTGTTGCCTGGAAGACAAGTGCATGTTGGCAAATGATGAAGAGAGCAAGCTTCGGGACAGGGCAAGGGGATGGGACAGGTGGAACTGAGACACTCACAATCAACCTGGAAGGAGCTGACATTGGTCCCTTCCACAGAGGGAGGCTGGTAGCATTCAGGCAGGAGCAATTCTAAGTCCTGTTTGGAGGAGATTTCCCTAAACCAGGCTCTCAGGATCAGCATAGATTAAGATGAGCAAATAATAGCTCATCATCAAAGACCAGAAAACATAGGTGAGAGTCAGGAGAAAAACAAACAAACAAACAAACAAACAAACAAACAAACAAACAACATATTTAGATCTTTAAGGACTTAAGAGTTAAAAATTTCCAGATACAAAACAGAAAACAGAAAGGTAAAAAATGTAAAAAAAAAAAAAAAAAAAAAAAAAAAAAAAAAAAAAAAAAAGACCAGACAAAGAAACTATCAGGAATGATCTGGCAGATTTGAGAAAGAACAATTAGAACTTTTAGGAGTGAACTGTAATTACTGAAAGAAAACACTCAACATAGGGGAATTAAGTAATCGATGTGCCACAGATGAAGAGAAAATTAATAAACTAGAAAACGGAATTGAGGAAATTACTAAGTATGAAGCACAAAGACATAAGGAGATAGGATATATAAAAGAGAAGTAAAAAAAAAAAAATACGGAGGACAGAGTAAGAAGGTCTAAAAGTCCCAAAGTCCCAGAGAGGAAGAGAGGCAATATTCAAAGAAGCAATGACTAAGAATTTTCCAGAATTGAAAAAATCAGTAGATTAATAAGTTCAGGAAGTACGATGATCCCAAGCAGGATAAATAAAACACATGTAGATACATTGTAATGAAATTGTAGAGTACCAGAGACATAGAGAACATCTTTAAAGCAGCCAGAGAGAAAAGGCATATTATCTACAATATGGAGACTTCTCAATGTCACCCAAAAGACCATGGAATGAATGCAAAGTGCTCAAAGAAACTGTCAGCCTAGGAGTGTAATAGCAATACTAATTTTCTAGGACAAGAATGAAAGAAAACATTTGCCCAGGTTTAGAGGTACTGGCTGAGTCAATATGGAAAGCTACATTACCGTGTTGCATTTCCTTTTTTTTTTTTTTTTTAAAGTATCAATAAACTATGTATGCTAAGGTAGGATTCCGGGAACCAAAATCTGAAGCTCTACTAGATCCTAAGCTAGGATGGGGTTCAGCAACCATGCTACCCCTACCTTACAAAGCAAAATGCTTTGCACAGAATAGTGCCAAATAAGTATTTGCTCAATGAATGTTGAGTGAACCAAACCCAGGAGACCAAATTCTCATCTTGATTCAGCCATTCACTTTCTGTAGACAGTCTCTCTGCACCTCATTTTTGTTGATGTTTTTCATTTTCCTTGTGAAATAAGGCATTGGAGTAACTCACGGGCTTCCAAACAAACTCTTCTATAGCCATGAAATAGCTTTGACACAACTTGAATACATAACTAGATCAAAGCAGGGCTTCTCTGGTTGAAGTTGGGGAGAGGGGCGGTGCCCTGGTGAATTTGGCCCTTCACTTGCCTGCATGATGATAACCTGGGACCTCCCTGAACTCTAAGGTTTTGCAGAGAGTTTGAAAATCATTGTCTTGGGGCATCCTTCCAGCTTATACTCCATTATTATCAAGAAACCATCAAGTAAGAACATGCCTTTCCCAAAATAGAGAAAGGGGTTTAGAGTCCCTCTTCTCTCTTCTGGCCTCTCACAATACTCAGTAGAGAGACAGACAACTTATTTTTATCCCTGGTTCCTGGAAGGCTTATTCTTTGCTCAACATAGTTTTCCAGCCAAGAAAAAGCCCTTCTATGCCTGTGTCTGTCCTGTAGCCAAAGAATTGATTAAATTCTTTATTTAATCCATGGTAAATTGATTTACCAAAGAATTGATTAAAAATTCTGAACTTTTGATAAGTACCAAGGGAATTGTCTTCTTCGGAAGATTTTGCCAGTTACAAGCAAGACTGAGCAGGAGATCACACAGTCTCCTTTGGGCTGTATCTACAGGGCCCTGGGGTAGCCACAGGGGCCACATAAAAAGCAGAACTTGTGCCCTGTGCTTGGGGGCTGAGAGAATCCCCACCCACAGTGTCTTCCTACCTCCCCCCTCTCCCCTGTGCAGGTTACCCATAGTTCTAAGCCCTCCTGGCTTCACATTCTGATTTCTCTTGATATGTATCTGGAACCTTGACTTCCTGATGACTGCTTTGTGATTAGGATTTCACTGGATGCTATTCCTCAAAACTGTTGCCTGATTTCAAGTTTCCAGTTCCATGACAGTGGCCATAATGTGCCCAGCCTGGCACCATCTTTTGGGATCCCTGCCTCTGGCTAGAAAGGAGATCCAAGACTCAGAATTGAAGGTAGTTTTTGTAAACAGGTCTGAGGTCTCTGAGGTGGAAGGAGCCTGGGAGTAACTAGAGTAGGCTGGCCAGTCTTTGGGCTCAGAAGTTTGGTTGCAAAAGTAGAAGGGGAAAAGGGGACTACATAGTCTACTCAAAGGTTCAGTTGTAATGTTCTTGGGTGGGAGGTGATGGGGTTGGGTCAAGGCCATCCTCTCTAGTAACCCCAGTAGAGAGTGAACCCAGGAGAAACCCACTGGGTGCTGGTCCCTTCTTGTGCAGGTGCACCCATCCAGAAGGAGGAAGGTGATCAGGATCAACCTCAAGGGTAGCACTATAGGCATGATAGGTCCAAGAGGGCAGCTTGTGCCTACAGGAACAGGTCAGGGGTCTCAGGCTTTGCATGGGTGGTGGAAGGAGGACTGACAGGTCAAAGTCAACCCACCCTCATTGGAGGCCAGCCCCAGGTCAGAATGGATGCATGAGTCTTTCCATACCTGCTAACCACGCTGGGTTGCACTGAATGGTGTCCCTTCAAGTATATTCTGCTGATGCTGACAATACCACTTCCAGGCTAAACAGGTGTCTACCTAAGTCTACATGTGGCTGTAACTTCTTATCCTGGTGGAGGAGGTAAAATCTTCCAGAAGGATAGTTCCTATTTAGTTGAAAACAGAGGACTTGGTAATTGAAGACTAACCCTGTAGTAAAAACCCAGTGCCTATCTTGATCTGTTAGTTTACCAGGAGCTACTGATAGAGCAATATCTAAGGCTTCCAAGGCCTCTGGAATCATAAAAGGTTTGAACTGGAAAGAGAGCAGCAGACATTGAGACCATATACTTTACCTTAACCAAGGAGGATACTAAAGGCCAGAGAGGTAAACTGACTTGTCCAAAAACACACAGCCAGTTAAGGGCACTGTCTTGCAATTCTGAGCTAAGGGTATCATGGTACAGAGGGGATGGGTTTGAAATCAGACAAAACTGGGGTTGAATCCTGGCTTGATCCTTACCAGCTGCTTGATCTCAAGCAACTTACCTTGCCTGTGCCTGCTTTCTCACTAGTGATGGAGGTTAACAGTATTATACCCCCATTTCAAAGGCTGTTTGAAAAACTCATTTTATATGTTAATGTAACATCTGGCACACATTGGGTCCTCTATAGTAATACTCTCTTCCTTTGAGACAGTATAATATTTTGATACAATAACTGTAGTAATC